TTTCACCGTCTCTCCGCCCCCATCCGGGGCCTTGGCCCCTCCCCGTCTCGAGCTCCTCGGGTTCCCCGCCGGGCCCCCGGGCCCAGTTCCGAGCTCCCTCCGGCTGCCCTCCCTCCGCCCCCGTACTTACCAGCAACTAGCCAGGCTACGGACCCTTAAACTCTGGCCCCAACTAAAGACTCTTTTCCCCCACAGAAAGCCCCACCAGCGCCGCTCGCCTCACCCTTCGCAATTTTCAGGCTCCAGCCCTCGCCGGCCAATTCCCGCTCCTACGAGCCGCCGGGTCTCCAACCCCCTCCGGCCCCTGCAGCCTCCCAGCTCCCTGGCCTTCTCCTCCCAATTCCCCGAGACGCCCCCCTCTCCGCAGACAATGCCCAGGCCCCCTTCTCCTCCACAACTACCTGCCCAGCCTACAGCAATCACCCGGCGGCAACTACTGGGACCTTGGGAGCCGCCACCACAAACTCCCCCACCACAGGGAACTACCGCGTCCCCAGCCCAGCCCTCCTCCACGGCCGACGGCCCCGCAACTCTGAGCCCCCAGACTCCCTCAATCGCCCCGCTCCGGGGCCCCAACCTGCCCGAGGCCCTTTCGGCTCCTAACCCCCAAGGGTCTGGGTTTTCCAGGTCCCACCCCCCCTCCTCTGTACACACTGCATCGGGCTTCCAACTCCTCCTGGCTCAGTCCCCCACTCCTCTTTCTCCAAAGGCTCCCAACTCACCGCTCTGTACCCCCAGGCCCGGACTCCCGACCCCCTCTCCGCGCTTCCCCGCTGGGCTCCGGGGCTCGACCTCCAAGTTTGCCAATTGATTCCTCACCCGCCACCCCCCCGCAGGCTCAGCGATCTGTGCCGGTCGAAAGCTCACCTTCGGGACTGGGCTCCGCCATGGCTTCCAGCATCGCCCCCTCCCCTCCTCCCGGTCAGGCGCCCCCCTCCCCAGAGCCGGGGATCCCGGTGCCGCCTCCGGTGTTCGGTGCTCCTACTGACTCGGTCCAGGGAAGTGTCGGCCTTAGTCCGGTTGTGATTCGAGTCCGCTAGCCGTTGCCGCTGCCGCCACCTCCCTCTTCCACTGCCTCCCGCACTCCCGGACCGGGCCCCCTCCCCCCGCGCCGCCGGCCGCCTGTTCCCTCCTCCTCCTCCTCCTCCCTCCCTCCTTTTCTTTCCCCCGCCCTCCACCGGCGCCGGAGCGCAATGCATCAAGGGACTTGTAGTCCTTTGTAAGGCTGCAAAAGGGAGCCTTAATAATGCTCAGGGACTGCAGTTCCCAGCAAGCCAGGGACTGACGCAGGCGCGCTAAAGCGCTCCTCCCCCGGGGTGTGACGGTAGCAGGAGGATCCAGCGGAAGAGCGCGCGCAGGCTACTGGGAAACGTAGGCCGGGCAGGAGCAAGAAAGAGGAAGAAGATGGGATTAGAACTCTCGGCCACCATACGGCTTCATTCCGCGTCTTCTTTTTCTCCCAAGGGACTATACCCATTTCCGCCCAGGCCCGGAGGTTGCTGGGAGATGAAGTTCTCCTCATTATAATGACTACCAGGGATCCTACACACCTGCAAAAAGTCTGGCCAGGTAACACGTGACTGAGGACACTCCCCTTGTACTAGTTTCTGTACATAAAAATATCTTCCTTAATCCAATTAGATTATAATAAGCTTGGATGTAGTTATCTAAAGCGGGTCCTTTTACTTGGGACTTTAAAATCCATGACTTTAATAAACTTTTTTTACACCAGGCCTCAATATATATGTACATAAAAGTCTCATGAAATGGTAAACCCATTGTATATTGTAGCCAAAGCACCATTTTTATATAGAGCCACTATCAATAGGATTGTTGCAGTCTTTCCTACCTCAGTATATTTCTAATCCTCCCAGAGGCTGGAGGTCATAGCATATTGCATGGCTAACCCAAAGGCTGCATCTCAAAACTGACCAAATCCACTCCAGGGCTGAAGGAAGAACCGTTTCCTCTGGTCTCAGAAACTCAGGGGAGGGGAGGGATGGGTTAGAATCAACTTGACAATAGTGAATTAAGAGTCTACCCATTCTTTCTCTTTTTCTCTCCATTAAAATCCATTATCGGAAGCTCTGGTAGCCTAAGGATAAGAAGCTGTGCTGCAATCACAAAGGTATGTGGTTTGAATCCAGCAGATGCTCCGCAAGAGGGTAGACACCTCCCATGTGAGGTTTTCTCTGAAAACCCACGGGATGGTCAGCTATGAGTTGGTTCAGACTCAACAGAAAGAAAGGCCGATGATCAGGCAAGCTTGGATCTTTTGTACCTATAGTTGCTGTGAGTTGATCTGACAATACTCAACAACAAAGTATGCAATAACTGAGCAGAGATAAAAGACGAAGGGATAAAGGGAACAACATAAGGCAAAAACCAATTCACCTTGGTGGTTTCCTCTTTATTGATGTGTCTCATACCTTCCCCCTCCACAATTTCAGTCCCTTCCATACACCCCCAAAGAGAAGGTAAAGAAAGGGTTTGTTGGGGTTTGGACCCCTTGTGTACTTAGAAAGGGAACAGAAACCAAAACAATCACTGGATGTGAGACTGACAACCAAGAAGTCTGAAGCAGAGCAGGGAAGGTGACAGAGAAAGGTGAAGGAAGGGAAAGGAGGTACTAGGGGCCATTCTCACCATCACCCCACCTGTAAGGGGGGCTGGAGAAAAACCCTCAAACATGAAGTAATGCAGGTCTTGAATAAGGGAAGTTGTTGAGCCTGAAGGGGGAGGCCAAAGAAGGGGGGGCACCTTTGTCTATGTAGAATGGGAGGCCCCCCACACCTCAAGGGCCGCAGCTTCACAGACCGTAGACACTTTCATCACTGTAGGCAATGTATAGAAAGAAGTCTTCTTCATGGTGTTCCTGGGATAAAAGCAGAACAGGATGGTCTCAGGCCTTGGGGCTTCAATTAATTGAACCACCCAGGGCCTACACAAATTCTTCAAAAGCAATCTTTCAGAAGACTCCAAAACCCAATGCCTGGTTTCTTCCCTTGCTGGTTCCAGGCCCAAGCCACCAAGCAGTATCCTAAGCAAAAGGATTTCAAACTGTTTTCTGCTGTGTCCTACTGAGGAGGGGGATTAGGCAGAGGACTGATGAAAAAGTTTAACAATGAATGAATGGAAATCCAAAGTCTCTGTAAAAGTTCATTAAAATGAATTTTAAAAAAAGAAAACAGAGTAGTGATGAAAACAGTTGCCCAATTTTACCATTCTCTCCCTTTCCAACCATCCTGTCAAAACTCTCAATCCAAGACTACCTTATATTTATAAGGTCAAAGGTGAACGGAAGGCTAAACTAGCTGAAGAACTGCTAACCAAAAACTTTCTTCTTACCAAGCTCTTCCAAGACTCTTACCCAAAGCCTTCACTACTTTCTCTTCACCATACCTGGTACAGCTGACCCATTGTGGCACTGGTGGGTGGAATGACATTGTTGACAAAGAAAAACAAGGCATCTTCAGCTCGGAGATGTATTCGCTTCCGGATCAAGAAGTAGAACTGACCAACTGCCAAAAATACAAGGTACACAAATGTCACAGAGGTCAAAATGGTGCTTCTTCCCAGAGAGAGGGTACTCCCACCCACAGGGAACTAACAGCTGATGCTGGTTCAGGTTCCCACCTGTGAGATCAGAAGGCACCAGGTATTTCTTTTTGTCCAGATCTCCTATCCGAGCTTTGGGAGCCTTCTCTACTATCACCTGATTAAGGGAAGACAAAATTAGGAAGCATTAGACATAAAGGTGTACTGCACAACCAACAATGTTTCTAACACCCAAGCCTCTCCTAGACTCATTTGTTTCTGCACAGGCAATGCAGTATTGAATCTAAAGATCTTGACTTATGAGCTCCTGTTTACATAAACGTCTCGTATCCTTAAATACAGCATCACCAACAACAATTAAGACCTTTAAATCTGTGAACAATTACATCTGGGTCGCTTAGTTTCAACCTCACAAAAATGAAGGGATGGCCACGAGACGCTCTGTCAAACTCCTTAAGGCCTCCACTCACATGAATCCCAACATCTTTTCTTCCAACCACTTTCCTTCACGCCCAGCTCTTCCATCGCCTTATTCCTTTCACCCCTGGCTCCAGAGATAATAGTTGCAGGATCGTTCCCAAACCCTCCACTGACTGGAGCCCGATCCCCGAATAGTCCATCCGGGAGCCAAATCCCAGGCTGTGGCGTCAGCACCCGCGCCCTCGGCCCTGTCCTTACCGGGACCCGGTCCGGGTATTTCTTTCGGATCTTCTCGCCCTCAGAGCGGCGCTTCTCGAACGGATGCTCCTCTTTGTACACGAACTTCATCCTCCCGGGGACCGGGCTGGACCGGGCAGGGCTGAGGGAACCCGGACGGGGTGGGGGGGGCCGGGACGGGGGACGGCGGCAAGAGAGTCAACTCGCGGGCGGAATCAGCGGAGCGATTCCCAGGCCTTGCGCCACTTCCCTATTCACCAAACGCAGCCCAGACTACCTAAAACAACAACACTGGGTAAGATACGCCACTAGCGCAGTGGCTCTAACGCCGCAACCGCAGCACCACCCACTGCCCGCCCTCCCCCGCCCCCGACGTAATCACGTTGGAATCATCTACGCCGGCAACGTAGCAGAGATGGGTCTGGCTAAAATAACCAAAAATTCTTTACCCCCACCACGAATCCAGGGACAAAAAGGAGAAATAATAACTTAAGATTTGTTCTCTTAAAATTATCTAGAAATAACGTAAAGCTTAGCCACAAAAACTGTTCACAGAACGTGTTGGTACGCTGAAGTCGGCCGTTAACACCAAAACAAAGTAGTGCCGAAGTTGAAGAAGCGGTTTCTAAAAACAAAGGACAGAATGAACCATGGGCTTAAAGAAACGTAAAGAAAAGGAGGGCTGGAAACCCACCCCTGCTTAGATTCCAAGAATGAGTGCACGAATGAGCATTGCAGGGGTCCGAAAGGTAGGAACTACGTCAGCGCGGAAGAACACCTTAGTTCTGTACCGAGGTCATGTGATCCACTCAGGGCGGAGTATCACGTGGCGAGTGCGCGTAAGTAGAGCCGGCCCCAGGAGGAGGGCGTCAGGGGGCGGAGCAACCGGGTGAACGGAGAAATGGGTCGGGCCAATAAGGCTGCCGACGCCTAACTCTAGGGCAGGTCGGGTGCGCCGGACAGCAGCTACCCAAGGGAGCACCCTGCTGAACATGTCCACATCAGCAGCACTGGAAGCGGTTTTCTCCACCAATATGCTATCTGACGTCCAGGTTTCTTATCATTTCATCCATTTTCTCTGAAGCGAAGTTCCCCAGGATACAATGGCTATATAAGGCCGCTAGCTAGCCGGCCTCTTTATGCTCAAACTTCTGGTGTTCATAGCCCATCCTCTACCTCCACAAAGCTAACTGCCAGGCACCTTTAAGCCACAGGGGTCTCAGGCCTTAGGCACACCAGGTCCCTCCATCCCTTTCCCAAATCCCAGAGAAGGACCTAGGGCAACTTTGGTTTCAAAGTTATAATGAACGGTTTGGAAGAAAGTAAAGAGAAAAAAAGAGAAAGCTGGTTACAGGTCTGAGGAAATCTAAGAGGAAAACAGAAAGAAAGGGGGACAAGATTGAAGTAAATTCAGTGGCCCCAAATCCTGCTCTCCCACCCACGGCTAACCCTCGGAGCAGAAGTGAAGAGTTAGATCAGTTTTGTACAAGAGTTTTTAAAAAAATCAAATCACAACAAAGCTGGTTTGGCTTCTCTCTGAGCCTCCAAAATCACCATCTGTGTATCTCTTCTCTCTTCAATCTTGCCAGTCCGGCCTTGCCATCACAACACGGTTCCAGAATTCCCAGGCCTCCGCTTGTATCCTAGTCTGAGTTTTCAGGAAGTGTGAATACGAAGTAAAGAGTGAGGCTGCTTTAGGGTCCGGCCCACGTGTCCATCCAGACTCCAGGAAGAGTTTGTATTTTTCAGGGGACAGAGGGTAGGAGGGGCAGACCCTGCCCAAGCAGTCCTCATCAGTTGACAGATCAGATGGCAATCCGAGGGCTCCCTGTCCCTCTCCCCCCCACCCCAACTCAGGTGGAGGG